GATTGAATTTCTTTGAGAAGTATGATACTGGATGCTCCACCCCATCGACATCCTGCAGCAAGACAGCTCCGGCCCCAAATTCACTTGCATCAACTAGTAGTTTAAAGGGCCGATCAAAGTTTGGCGCTACAAGCACCGGAGCATTAGTCATCAGCAATTTAATTTGTTGGAAAGCATGGTCACAGCGCTCAGACCACACATAAGGAACTTTTGGGCTTAACAGATCAGTTAACGGAGCAGCAACAGCTGAGAAATTTTTACAGAACCCTCTGTAGTACCCAGTCATCCCAAGGAAGCAGCGCAAGTCACGTCGGGAAGCCGGAGCAGAAAATGCCAGGATTGCTTCCACCTTGGCCTGGACCGGCCGTACTTCCCCGTTGCCAACCACTTTTCCCAGATTGACCACGGTTGCCTGAGCAAAGTCACATTTTGCCAAGTTAATAGTTAAGTTCGCCCTGCGCAAACGCTCGAACACCTCCGCCAACTGTTCCATGTGCTTTTGCCATGACTCTGAATAAACCACAATGTCATCCAAATGTGCCGCACACCCTGACAGACCCGACAGCACAATATTAACGAGCCGTTGAAAAGTTGCTGGCGCGTTGCGCATCCCGAACGCCATGACAGTGTACTGTAGGAAATTATCTGGTGTCACAAATGCTGAAATGTCCTTAGTTAGTTAGTTAGTTCCTTAGTTAGTTGAACCTGCCAATACCCTTTTAACAAGTCGATCTTGGTAACAAACGAGGCACTGCCAACCTGGTCAATACAATCTTCCATTCTGGGCAAAGGATAGCTGTCGGGCTTTGTCACGGAGTGTGCGGCATATTTGGATGACATTGTGGTTTATTCAGAGTCATCCCGTAACACGTAACACAGTGTAGAACTGATAATGTGTACTTTTTGGACTTAAATTGCCCATGGGGAAAATTCTATGAAAGATAGGTGAGATATAGTGCACTTACTGAACTGAATAAGATTTAAAACATAAATTCTATAATTAATAATATGAAAAATTAATGCTTAAAGCCACCATGTAATTATGCCAACCAAGGCTGTATATTTAAATGTAATACAATATTTGATCAATTTAAATAATTTATTATGAAATTTGCCTCTGAAGTGTTTCAAATTCCTGACAAGGGTTTTCCTAAATTAAGAAGGAGTCTAAATTACGATTTTCCTATCACACTTTTCTGCACGTCTCTCTGATTCTATACGATAAAAGAGATTATATTTATTTCTACTGAAGGGATCAATGGCCTGGTGTACGGTAACCTCCATGGACTGGTGATGACCCGCGGCCAGAAAGTAGACTGGTATCTGCTGGGCATGGGCACCGAAGTGGACATGCACACTGTGCACTTCCACGCTGAGACTTTCACCTACAAGGTAACCACCAACATCTGCTCTACATACTGCTCTGGTTTAAATCCAATAATGAAAGGATGATAGTGTGTGTTGTTGTATTTGGGTTTAACACTTCGACATGCCCAGACAGAAAGTGTCTTTACACATTTCCTTTTTTTCTGTTCCCCTTTATTGTATTGTGTGTGTGTGTGTGTGTGTGTGTGTGTGTGTGTGTGTGTGTGTGTGTGTGTGTGTGTGTGTGTGTGTGTGTGTGTGTGTGTGTGTGTGTGTGTGCGTGTGCGTGTGTGTGCGTGTGCGTGGGGTAGACGGACCGTGTGCACCGTGCAGACGTCTTCGATCTCTTCCCCGGAACTTTCCAGACAGTGGAGATGGTTGTTGGGAACCCGGGGACTTGGTTACTTCACTGTCACGTGACGGACCACATACGCGCTGGCATGGAGACCACCTTCACCATCAAGGGTATGTAGAGCATGCATTGTGTGTCTAAATGGTGTCACACATGCTTGTGCATTAAGATAATTGAATCATGTACATTGAAATTTGTGTGAAATCTCACTTTTGTATGTATATCTTCTTTCAATTCCAGAAAACTCATCGCATGGTAAGGTTTATCCTTATTTCAATACAAATTTTCAGTCTAATATTTAATATTCCATCCTTCACATACTTATGTAAATATAATACCTTGCTTTATATCTTATTATTGTTCATTTGTCAATTCAACATGTATATTTTCTACTTTCTTGTCTTTTAATTTGTATGTACAATGCCAGGTCTTTTTATGCTGCTGCAACACAAACATTTCCCAAATTAGGA